CTGCTGCTGCTGCTTAAACTCCCCCCCGCAAAGAAAATGAGCCCTTTGGTATTCCCCAGGGCCTGCAGCCCCTGCGCTGTTGTACGTGGCATAGAGCGTTCTTTATGCAGAGATCTTGAACAGAGCTGGTCCTGTGCTCCACTCCAACCGTTTTAATTGGTAGAAGTGACGTTCAGAGTACTAGTGCAGAAATAATACTTGTAGCTGCATGTGTTTTTAAGTAATATGTCATATACCTTCTGTGTGTTGGATGATGATGAAAATGTACTGCTGCAGCCTCCTACAGCTCTGTCAATACTGTTGAAACTATTGCAAGCTCAGCGGTGAAAAACTTTGGAAAAATGGGTGGGTTTTACATACTAACCCTCATTAAAAGCAAAATTGTCCCTGTTGGTGATAGGAGTTTACCTTTCCCTGGTATTCAGCATTTGAAAAGCTGTAATATAGATGTGCTTCCAGTTTTGTTCAGTTTTGCTCTGATTCAGGCGTGTTTTACCAGAAGTCAAAAGCACTTGCTGAGTCAGGTCTGTTCTGGTGCTAACCAGGCTGTAGTTACAGAAAGCAGGCTGGGGTGGGCGAGACCAGAGCAGTTGCCGCCTTCTTATGTTGGAAGTGATTATTCTGCTTAATACAGATAATGGGTCACAGGTCCAGTACTCAGTATAAAATATTTAATGAGCAAGTGCCTGTTCCGGTGGGCTTGCATACTTTCTCTGCTCGTGAAAGTTTTCATCTTACCTACGCTGGCAGCTAAATTCTGCCCATGAAGAAGGCAAAGGGCATGATGTTTGAAAGCTAAAGACAGCATCATGTCACAACCCAGGAGGGTGTTTTTATGTCATGTGTTTTGAGTAGCTTTGATCTCAAAATTTCATGTGGTGACCAGGACATGAATGGGGATTTTCTGCATAGTTTCAAGCCTAGCGAGAGATGGGCCATACCCGTAACAGAAGCCTTAGCAGCTGTAAGCTAGAACTGTGCGGTATGTTAACCTGTGTTTAGGGATACAAGGATACACTCTGTCTGTCTGTCCAAAACCTGTGATATCACTGGAATTTGGTGAAATTTCTTAAGTTTCATGCTGCGTCTGTATTGCTTATAATATGGTTTCTGTTTCATCTTCCAGCAGAAGAAAGCAAACGATACCAAGCTTGACTGTGAAATACAAAAAATCTTCATGACAGCCTCATACATTGTGTATTGACCGATCAGTAGCCTGGCTGTCATCTGAGCCAAGCAAAACTTCAAACTCACCTCGCTAGTGCTAAAGCAGGTTAACTTTGCAGGTGCTCAGGAGGGTGGCAGTGCAGCTGTGCTGTAAAAGGAGGGGCCGTTACCATGTCCAGAAATGCCCCCCCAGCAAAGCTTTGCGGGTCCCAGATGGATGGTCCTGTTTCTTTCTTTATTTCTAGCAGCAGCGGAGCTTCTGTGCTCCTTTGCACAGGAAGCTCTAAGAAATACTCTCTTTTCCCAAAGCTAGCTTATCCAGTTGTCTCCTCCCTTCCCCAGCATTTCTACAGAAATAAATTACCAGATAGAAAAGGATCCATACAGAAAATCCTCTACAGCCACTTTCCAGTAAAAATCTTTTTGAAATACAACTAAATTTTGTTACTACGATGCCTCATCTTAACTATTTGTTTACACAGAGACATTCAACCAGTCAGTTGAATCAGTTTAAGAACTGATTTAAGTAAACTGTTGCAAATATCTTTTAGGTATCTATTGACAGGCTTAACACAAGTAAGTTCTATTTTGTTGGAAACTTTTCTGGCCTGTTTTATTTAAGAATGCTTGCACACAAAGTTGTGTGTGTTTGGCTATACAATTTAGCTAGAGTGTGATTTTTAAATTGGCATAGCTTTGCATTTTATATCAATTCTCATTTATACTGTGTATCTCCCTGCCAAGAAACCTGCTTCCACTCTACAGATAGACTCACTACATTCTTTTATTCCCCGCTGTAATGTGAACGAAGTAAAATTATGCTGGAGATGTCCACGTTAGGGTAATTAAGCTCAATTACAGATTTCCTTTTTAAAACTTTTCAGAAGAAAAAGTCTTAAATCAAAAAACAGAATGCGAACTTTGGCTACTACTTGAAATTTTCATGGTTTGATGAAAAACAGTGCAGGGGGGGATCATTAAAAAAAAATCCTGTTGGCAGTCTGCCACCAAGATTGTGGGTTTTTTATTAAGCTTCCTCCTCTTGTAAGAAATTCTAAACAGTTACTGACTTGTACATCTTTCTTCTTTCATCAATTACAGTGATACTGGCTGTTGCCAGATGGAAAGTAAAGTAGTGTCAGCCAGGTTTGTACGTAAAGTTAGTGTTTGTCGAGAGCTCTCATGGATATTACAGTAGACACAAAACACATGCATATGGTGATGAAGCTCCAATGTTTGCCAGCTACAGCAGGATATATTCACTGTCTAGGAGTACCCGTGGTGGTTCTCCCCAGGAAAGATGGATAGTGTCTGTAGGAAAAATCCCCCTGACTGTAATAAGGACGAAAAAGCAGAGAATAAGAATGTAACATAGACAGGAATGAGTCTGAGCGGTGGTCGGTCCCCTGAGAAATACCAGGGGCCCGCACTTTATTCAGTGCCTTCTCCTTGGTCTGATGTGTTCCTCGGATACTGGGCAGCTGAACAGATCCTTCTTTGTGGCAGTCGAGCTCGGAGCAGCTTTTTGGGGCTGAAGCCAGTATTTCTGCGTTTAAAGTGAGTACCGAGACAAGAATGCTGCTAAGCGCTCCAAGTGTCCTCTAGTGTATCAACAAACAGATGAATAGCCTTTCAGAGCCGCTGGGCTTACTCTCTCGGCAGCAAAGGTACATTATCAGAACCCTTATGTTTGCAATTACGTATCATGACAAATCTCAGGTATTTTTTGTGATATTGTGGGCCCTGTTCTAGTGGGGCTAAAGGAAGGTAACATTTTTTTGACTGCTAATTGTAGAAAACCTTAAGCTTCTCTTTTATTGCTGCACAGAAAAGTCTGTCTGGTCTCTTGACCTGTAGCTTGCTTGCTTTGTTCTTTGCTAAGCGCAGGCTTGCTAATTATTCTTAGTTGTTCTGTTTGCTAGTCAACACCTGCAATCACAAGTGGTTTCACGTTTGTTCCACTGTACCCCATTCAACACACCAGAATTGTAGCACTCAGATAATCTCTGCTAGAACCATCTAATATTTAAACTATATTACTATCATAATTTCACTGTTTGACATAAAACCATATTGATATATTTGCACAAGAGTAAGGCATACACTGTAATGCACATTTGACAAGCCAAGGTAAATTGGGTGTTACAGCAGGGAATGTATCCATTGTAATCAGAAGAAAAGGGCACGGGGATTTACTCCTGGGTAAATAAACTGTCTCTGCCGTATGCTTTCTCTCTGGCTAGGAGGAGACATTCATAACTGCCAAATAAATTCAGTAATCAATGGTAGAATTTAAATTGGGTTGCTGTAGGTGATATTCCAGAGCTACTGCAGGGAAAATACAGTAAGTCTTCCAGACCTCATCTACTAGAGAAATTTACCGCAGGAAGAAATATTTAGTGTCCTAAGCATGACTGTAGGGTGCAGAAATACTCTCATGTGCCAAATATTGATTGGCGTAATCTTGTCTTCAGCATGGCTAAATATTACTATCTTAAATTGAGTATTTGCAGCTTACTCAAGTTGTAGAACCAATATAGTTGAATGGGTGAAAATATCATCCTCTTGCTCCTTGAGTGGCTTGCTGGCTTCTTACGGTATCGCCACTATTAAGAAATCTGAGGCAGTATCTGTGCAGTTGGTATTTAGAAGCATTAATACTAAAAAAGTTTTAGAATACCAGTAATACTGTTAATTGTTGTGATTCTGCCCCAGTACATATGCTGCAGGGATTTGATATGATGGATATAAGCATAACCAATTTATTTAGAAATTGTTGCTTGTAATTATGACGGTGACCATATGTGGTTTCTAGCTGCCGGACGTCAGTTTGTCCATTGGAACCGGGGTAGGGCTGCAGTAACATGCAGGTGAGAGTCACCCTTCTGCTGTCCTGAAGATAGGGCTTTGATTCTTGTTTAAAGAAGTAAACCTCGTGAGCACAGCTCAAGTTGGTTTTGTCTAAAGAAAAGAGCAGGCTATATAAAACAGCTGTTGACCTCGATGGGCCACGTTTGTTTTCCAGAATATTTGAAGATGTGTGACAACGTGCGTGTCTGTAACAGGAGTCGTGTTGGTTCTTCCCAAAGTTGATACCTCAGAGTTGGCGTTACCAGGAATTTGTACCTGCTTTTCTAACTAGGACAGCAGTGGCATTTCTGCAATCCAGCATCTTTTACTTTGTAATAGATTAATTTTGTACCTCTGCTTCCCCAACTATGGCACCATTGTCTTTGCTGAATGCCTTACCTGTTTCTTTCTTTCACATTAATTGTGACAAGAAATGACAAAACTGATTAGTGTTTTATTAATTTGCTGCAGTTAAACAAAAAAACAATCTTTAGGAGCCTATGTCTACTAAATCAAGAGAGCGATACCATATTTTTCCTTGGCTCACAGGTGGTAGGTTAATCTTGCAACTAGAACGGCTAGAATTTAGATGAGATTCAGTTAGAAAGGTTTTGAAATCGCGGTGGGTGAGTGGATATTGTATACCTTGCATTGTATATCTCTATCAGCATTGGTTGCTGAAATGCTCTTGTTCAGTTCATTAATGTACTTCTTCCCTAATTATACCTATCTGAATAATTCATAGTTTAAATTGTCATTTTTAACTATGTGTAAAGGTTACCATGCAAAACCGCAAGTGAAAGATTAATAAAAGTTTTCGTTTAAAAAAGTAATTTACTGACATCAATACTGTTTACTGAAAATAGACAAAGTAGTTTGGACTAATTTTAAGAAATAGAGGTAGCTTTGGAAAGATTCTCACTTGTGGAACTGCAGTATTATTACATACTGATACATATTTGTCTCTCTTATCTTTGGTAGAAAATGATGCACCCTGTTGCCAGCAGCAATACAGCTTTCTGTGGGACCGGCAAGAGTTCTTGCCTTAACGAAGACAATGTGAGATCTGCCGATCAGTTTGACTTGTATGCCACGCAGCAAAGTAAATACAGCCACGCAGTCAGCCACAAACCAATTGCATGCCAGAGACAAGATGCGTTGAACGAATCGCACTTGCAGACCACAAGTGGCAGGAATATAGAGACAAAAGACGAACTAAAGAAAAAGAAAAACCTCAACCGATCTGGTAAACGCGGAAGGCCATCAGGGACCACAAAATCAGCAGGGTACCGAACCAGCACAGGTCGACCCCTGGGGACCACCAAAGCAGCTGGATTTAAGACAAGTCCAGGCAGACCCTTGGGTACAACTAAAGCAGCAGGATACAAAGTCAGCCCAGGCAGACCTCCAGGTAGCATTAAAGCTCTATCACGGCTTGCAAATCTAAATTATACTTGTGGCAGTGCAGCTTTTCCCTATCCTATGGTGCATAACAGAGGAGTACATGCTGCTGGTGAAACTAGTAGCAAAATGAAACAGCCTAATGAATGAAAGGAGGGAATTAGTAACTCCTTACTAATCTGCTTTACTCTGAGTTTTGGCATGTTTCTTGCATTTTGTTGTAGTGTTTGCCTAAGTCTGAATTTCTAGATTTTGTTTTTATTCAAATAATGCCATAGCCCACGGGTGCAATTCAGTAACCTTTAAAGCAATGTTGAGAAGGCACTGGTTTAAAGGGGTCTGTGTTGGTTTTAAATCATAATTTATAAGCAAGTCTGAAGTGATGCATATGCCTTGGTGTCGATACTTAAGTAATGTCCATGTCCCTAGTTTTACGTTCCATTTCTGGTAAATCTAGTTGTGTGGTTATGCATTAAGTAATTGAAATAAGGAGGACAGAATTAGCTGGTTGTCGGTTCATGATGTGGCCTATCCCACAATAAGGAACTTAGCCAGATGAGTTCTTGCTCGATAAGAAAAATTGATAAAGAAAGCAGCAAGCTGCATTTTCCACTTCTGCAAGAGCTTCTACAGACCTCAAATAGATACTTAAAAAACAAACAAAAAAACTCAACCTTTTTCTTAAAGTGCTGATTTCAGGTGGCTTTTGTTTCTGGAGTTGTAGCAGTAAGACAATTTCAACTAATGCTCCAAAAATATTTTTGAAAATATTAAAGAAAACTGAGCATTTGTACAGCGTGTTACAGCTTCACAGCGCCTTATTAACACAAGCAAATTTGCCTTTAGGTGATAGCTGTTCTTTTAGTTATGCTGTTACAGGATTCTGCTGAGTAATTTTGAAATGCCTAATAGTATATATACCAAACCACAAATAATTCTTTGAAATATTTTATAAGAAATTAAGTACTGTTCATTCTAGTTACACACTTGGTTGTTATTAAACAGTATGTTCTTAAAACTGTAAATAGCTATTTACACTGTTTTTTGCCTTTAAAATCTGTGCTTAGGTGGCGACAGTTTAATAGCTTTTAAAGTATTAATCTATAATGTTTACAAATTAAACTTTTTACATAGACACTGTTGCCAAGTTTTCAGACTTAGTTTTGCCAGATATTCCTGGAAATACAGTTATTTCGTTGTTTGACACTTATACTATATTTAAGTTATGGGAGCTTATATATCTACCAAAGGACACCATTTTCATGATTTATAAAAGCAAACTGTATAGCTGATGCAAACAGGATGCAGTTTACTGCACTGCTAGACCCCAGATATAAAGTAATTCATCTATGCATGCAAGCTGAAAAAAAAATGTTGTTGGTTAGCTATAAATACCTTTCTTGACTCAAACTAAAACCTTCCCTCCTTCCAAAAGAAATGTTCAGTTTTTCAACTGGCTGTGTTTAATTTTTTTTTTTTTTAATGTGAGAGAGTGTGTGAGTGCGTGTGTAAAATACTTTAATGTAGACTTCAAAAACATCAGTCCTCAATGTTGCATATTGTTTGTTCTAAATTTATTTTACTGCAGTTAAAGCTCCCCCCACCACCATCTGGAGGAAAGTTTACGTTTAAGTTGTTTCACGTATAATATGATGTTATGATAAATTTGTAGTTTCAAATATCGGGGGGGCGGGGAGAATATATAGAGTTTGCTTTTTTGTGGGAACAGAAGAATTTGGGTTAATTGAGCTTGTGCTGAATGAGTAATGATGCTGATAATTTTTGTTTACATAAATGCTATTCTGGCCTGCTGTCATTTAGATGAGAACTCTTGATTTCAGTGATGACCACTTAAGAAACAGATGTCATGTTTCATACCTTTTTTATCAGGAAAAAAGCAGCAAGCCTTCAGGTGTTCCAGTGATGCCTAACACATATTGAGCTGGACTTTATGCTGTACTTTACAATAGGTGTGTTGAATTGTTTTGGGGGAACTGTGTATGCACTGGCAACTAAGACAATGAACCTCAACTATACTGGATGGCTCCTTAGTCGATAGATGAACTAATGGCAGCTAAACTGCTACTAAAAAATAGTTTCTTCATGCGGAAGCTATGAAATCCAGTTACACGTTCTGTTCCTCAACAAACTCGCAAGTCTGAAATTTAGCAATCTTTCTCAGAACGATGTAACTTCTGACACATGCAAAATGCTAACGTGAGTTAATTCACCCTCAGGATCTGTGTTGTATTGGCGGTTTTTAATCAGATGATTTTTCAACAAAAGTCTGCTTTAAGTTCTTTTCTGAACTCAGCTGGGAAAGCAGTCCTCTTCAGCTGAACGTAGTAACTGCAGGAGTGTCACACCTCGCTGGCAAGGAACGTGTTGCATGTCACCACTGTACCTTGGAGAAACTCCACTTCTTACCTCCTCCTGTTTATCCTGTTTGCTCCTGTTCCATTTCTCACTCGTGCATCTACTCAATGGTGCTGTGCTGTGTGTCAGGAGATAATGCAGATGTATTGCTGTTCTGCTAGTATAATGAATTTTGTATTCAAGTATGCTGATGAAATAATGAAATCATCTAAGCAATTTCTGTTCATTACAGTGTTTATTAACTATATCAGATGGAATATAATCCCAGTAAAAAACAATTAACGTCGTCAATTGTGAAATGATGAGCATAAAGTAGAAAAGTGTTCAGAGAGTCTAATGGGCTGCTTGGCACTCTAGCTTTAGCAAGGAGACCAGAAGTGCACTGCTGGGCATTTCCTAATTCTGGTTTATTTTATATCTGACTATAGTTTACTGGTGCTGTGCAGTGAGGGGAAGAAAAAAGAAGGTAGAGATTCAAGATGAACAAGAAATGGAATTTTCAAATAATTCTGCTTTTCCTATGTATAATCTGCAGAATACATTGTGCTTTTTTCAACACTTTTCTTTCCATGACAAACACTGAAACAGCATGTTAATGCCTAAACTTTATTAGCCGCGATGGGAAAACTGGCCTTTTCCCCCCATAGTATGAAAACATTACTTGTAAGGTAAATTGCTTATTTTATATTATATATCATAATTCAGCTATTCATAAGCTAGGATCACTGTTGTGTGTTAACACTGTTCAGAAGATCTACATGTCAAGTTTGTTTTTTAGTAATTTCTTTTAATTATCAAGTTTCTAACATCTTATTTATACATAAATGAAATGTATTAGCTTGCTGTTATTCCTTAATGATGCTATACAAGTTCACCGTTTAATGTACATACAGTAACTACTATTCAGTTTCTGATTAAATTTACTTAAACTTTAAAACCAAATAATTTTGCTACTACAAAGTCTTGCACTGGACATATTCAAGATGCTAGCACCGTATTTTGGCAGAAGAAAATCAGATACCATCAGAAGTGGCTAACTTTGATATCAAAGATAGTATTTTTCAAATCAGCAGTTAGCTTTGTCATTAAAGCAATGTTCTTTATATCTCAGATTTTGTTTAAACTAGTCAAAATAACTATGTATCAAGAGCCATTAAAGATCGCTGTTCTGAATGAATATATTTTCATTTTGTCTGAAAGATCTTAAGAGTTCAGTCAGGACAAAACCAAGCCTTGTCAGTGAAAAGTGATGTGTCTGTGAAAAGAATTACTTGGAACTACAATACACAGAGTAATTCAGATGAGAATTTAACTCCCTCCCCCATTTTTGAAGAGCTTTAAAAGGCAGAGCAATGTGAAGTCATTTGTCCAATGGTTTCATTAGCTGTGACTCTGCTATTCTTTGTTACATGTATAATAATGTTTCACGTTATTCTTAGAGTTGACCGTTAAAAGTTGATAACAATCATAAATACTTTGAACTTCAGACTTCATTTCTGACCACAAAAGAAGTTTATTCTTCTCTATTTTAATGCATATATTTTAACACTGCTTAAATATTTTTATGACTTCAGTAGAGACTAGACCTTTCTCCTTGTGATTTTTTTTTTCCCAAATAGATAAATCTGTATTCTGAAATTTGAACCACTTTCTGATACTTTAATCTTTCATCATTTGCTTTTCCACAGGTTTACTTTGGGGGAAACAGTAATCTGTTAAATAACTAGTATCAGCACCCCGTCCTCTGCTGTAAAAAGCCTGATTAGATACTGTGTATGTTTTTATGTCCATGAACTTGAGCTACTCGTGTGCAATTATGTGTATGGGAATGGAGTAGTGTTCATGATCTGTATTTACATCATCATATGGATGTATATTTATTAATAAAGTTAATACTTTAAAACCTAACAAATTTTTCTCTGGGCTTTTTTTAGTGTCTTTTAAATTCTGGCTGAAGATGCCTGTTGACAGCGTTACCAGGCCAATAGCCTTAGCCCTTCTCTCTTGTGAATAGAAGTGCTGTTTGTTCTCCTGGTGTCTCAGTCACAGTTAAGCGACTCAAACTGGCACCAAAATGTTTTGGTACACCTTGTACAGATTTCACTTAAAATCCGGCAGCTTGTTGTGTTTGTCCCTTGCCTCCCTGAAGTGTAATTGAATCTGGCTACAGTAGACCGAGTGTGTTCCTGCCTGGGTAGACTTCAAAATGCACAGAGGATTTGTGAGAGTTGGGAGGCCGCTGTATTGTGTGATTTTTTAAATTGAATAAATAAGCCCACTCTTTCAGTATACTTTGCTTTCTGAATTTCAGCGTGAGATGTGTATTGCTTGTTACAGGCAAGTCCCGTATATTTGAATTAAGGCAGAAAGCCTGTATGAATTGCAAGGTATCAGAAAATAGAGGAATGTTACTTATTAATGACATTTTAATGACTTGAAAATGCTGCTACAGTAACTTGATTGTCTTATCCTTTCACTCAAATATGAGAAGAGGGGAGGAAAGGAGTTACAGCTATGTACATATAAATAGTAAGCTGCTAACTTTTTTTCCTCTGTTGCACACGGAAATCAATTTGAGAGTACTCATAAACTAAACTTCTCATGGAATGGTGGTCATTATTCATTATTCTGTGATGAATAAGATGTATTTATCCCTGTATTCTAGCAGTATTCCGATTTGTCTTTGTTGGTAAGATGTGCTCTGCATACCACCCCCCCCACCCCTCCCCCCCCCCCCCCCCGAAGTTTTTAAATAACTCTGGGGGAAGGCGGGCAGTCCTACCTACCAGAAGCGGCAATCTAGACTGCTAGGTCTGCATCCTCCCCTTGCTCTCCAACACCCTGTTTTCTCTTCCACGTACTTCCAAAGGCCCTGAATACATCTAGGGTTGAAGTGTTTTAAATGTCAGTTACAGTTATTTTGCAGACTTTTAAGTTGCTTTTACCTGAAAAAGACATCTGATGCCTTTTTTTTGTTGGCCATTCTGGTCATTCTAAATATTTGGCTTTCGAGGTGACTGGATATGTTCAGAACAGAGTTCGACTACAGTCTGCTACATCCTGGTCTAAAAATCAGTTCCTGGATGTGATTCCTTGAGCAAAATGGATTATTTTCTTTGTTGTAATGAAATCTTAAGTATTAGATACTAAGTCAGTCATAAATTCTATCATACGGGAATACGGGCTTTTCAGCTGTGTTGGAAGCTGCTTGACTGCTTCCATGGCTGTTGTGTTCTCTGCCATGTAATGAACTGAACAATAAAAGTTGCAATGCAGTCTGTTCCCTCAGCACACAGTTGGTGCGCGAGGCCAGGTGCAGTTTCTGATGACAGGACCAGTTTATGATTTATTCATGCTGACAGACTAGCAGTGTTGGGGTGTCAGCTATGCAAGCTGGCCATCTTCAAGGAGTCTTTAAGATGGTTGTATCTTTTAATAATTTCATTTATGTGTATGACGAGACACCAAGGCTTGCTTTGGGGCTGGACTGGCATTTTTATGCTTTTGTACCTCCTCGGTGTGATCTCTTAAAGTAGCACGAATAGTACAGTGTGAATTAGTGGTATCGTACCTGTTAAATATGCCGGCTCAACAGAGTGTGGCTTTGGACCAAGACAAACGAAGGTTGTTCTTGACAGTTCATCATTTAAAGCTGGAACGCCTCAAAGTAAAGAACTGACTCGCTGCCTTGCATTGCATGCTATTTTTATCCGGGTTCTGCCTGTGGCTCTGTGTTTATTGTTTAACATTTGAGAGAGAGGTGTGGCCTGACCATACAGAATTGGCAGCCCAAAAGCTACCGCGTTCTGGAGCTGGCTCTCGCCCAGGTTCCCTGCATGGCCTAGGGATGGCAATGTCTCCTTTTTCCCCATTGGTGAAAACGCAGTAAAAATATCTGCTTATCTTGCGGGCTTGCTGGAAGGAATCATTAGTTAACAACCTTTAACTACTTTGAAGCTGAAAAATGTTGTGGAATTCTTAAGTGTTGTTTAAATGATCTGAGGCAGATAAATCTTCTTGGCTTTCATGTTGTTTTTTTCATACCACAAAAGCTTGTTCTAATTAGTGAAAAAATATCACAGTAACAATTAGTGCAAGTTTGATTAGAGTAGGCCTTTGAGATATGTGTAATACTAAAATGTGTGTTTGCTGCTCCAAGCGGCCTTATTTTTAAATAAAAATATTCAACTGCAGCCATGTCGAGAAAACAAAGATCACAAAGTCGCACATCCCAAATGCAGGTGTAGGTTAAAGTTGCCTGTGCGACCTCAGCCTGCGCTCCTGGCTTGAACACTGGCCGTATTTTCTTCTACCTCATCTTTGCGCTATTGAAGACACAGAATGCCGTAGCTGTGAGGATGTGTCAGGATCATACAGGAGTGGAAACCTTGGTCTTTGTGAAGGGCCTGGCACGGCCTCTGTGTCCCAGTCCGTGTCCTCTTTCGCTCCTTCTGTTGCCGTGAAGGAGCTTGCCCAGCGTGACTGAAATCTGGGGAGGGGAGAAGTTCAGCGGCTGAAATGTAAGATGCACAGATGACCACCGAGTTTTGGTGTTTATTCACGGGTGCAACAAAAGACTCATGTTTTGCAAATCCTCCTCTTTGCTAAATTTCAGCTCCCTCCCTAACAAAGAGAGCTTTTCTAATGCATCCAAGATTTTTGAAGATTCAAAACAATGTATTTTTTTTACTAGATTTTTTCCTGAAAACGAGACATTTGGCATTAAAAATCAGGAAAATGTAAGCCACTGAAAACAGTTTTGCAACAGAACTGGCAGGCATCGTTAAGAAATGTGCCTTCTCTGCAATACATAAGCACTGGGATAGTACATTTGTTGTGAATTAGGTATGATAAAGCCTGACTGACTATAATTCTTGGGAGTTCATTTGTGTTCCGTTAATAGATTACTGAGTCACCATAAAAAATGCAATTCTGCACAAGCCTTTTGATTTGTGTTACAGTAGGAAATCCACAGAAGTGTCTCGGATGGCGGCATGCCGCCAGAAAGCTATCTGTTATTTTCAAGGTTTGGAGTATCGTCACCCGTGTTTTGAGATCCGACACCATCCAGGGCTGGGGTGGGCGAGACACAAGACTCTGATGTCACAGAGCCGAGAGCTGGGAACCACGTGCAGTCCTTGGCCAGGAGAAGGAAAATTGTTTTCAAGTTGAAAATGCCGCTTTGTCCAAACTCCAAGAAGGACAATTGGGAATGGGGTAGCTTTTTCCCGACTAGTCCGCACCGGCTTGGAATCCTTACGTGCTTTTGCTTTCAAGCTTGCTTGCTTCGTCTGTATCAGCTGGTCTAATTAAATATTTTCTCTCTATGTGCAAACCTCGTGTTTTATCTCTTTAGACTTTTATGTCCTCAACATTAATGCTTATGCAAATAGGACTCTGAAAGAAAAAAAATTCCCAAGCAAGAAAATGTGCTGTGAGAAAGGACAGTTGGAGAAGTGTCCCCTAGCAAAAACAAAGACAAAAATCCCATTTCTGTAATAAAGCCGACACCCGTCTTTATTTATATGCTGGTACAGCGTTTTCCTTTTTTCCAGAGTGTGTGTGTGTGTGTGTATGTATGGTTCATACTCTTGTAGTTCATAATTCTCACTCACTTTTTGACAGATGCAGAGTTTTGGCAAAATCTCATTGTGTGGTGCTGGCAGTTTGAAGAAACACGGTAAAAACCGGGGTGTCGGCACTTGAAGTACTATGTTCATTTTCAAAATGCCCCAAATAGTCCTTAAGCTTCGCTATTAAACTGAAAGCAAGAACCAATTCTGTGGAAGGAGGAGTATTATCTTATTTTCTAAAAAGAAATTCTTACTAAAGAAATATTTATCTCACCTTTCACCCTGGGAGCTTTGGTGTATGCTGATGGACAAGCGCTCATGTTTTCTTTTTCGCTTTAAAAAATACGCCTTTAGTTCACAGGCTTTTACCCTCACCCCAGCCCGGCTGCAGGTTAAAAGTTTAGTTTTTCACGTGCAAACACATGGCAAACTGAATCTGTGCTTCTCCGTAGCGGGTGGAAGTAGGCAAATCCTTCAGCCGGCAGATGTGGCTGCGGGGAAGTCCTGGTCGCAGCAGGCCCCGCGGGCTGCGAGGCCGGGTTACCGCAAAACACGCTTTTGGAAAGCCTTACGGGGTGCGTTTGTGTGGCCTCTCCATTGCCCTTCAGCCCGAGCATCCTGGCAAGGCCTCGGGATGACGTTTCCCTCGCTGCAAGAATTTTCGACCTGAACTAATCTAAATCAACGGCGAAACGCCTGCCGGCCTCCAGCAGCCTCAGC